GAAAGTATGATATTAAAAATTGTAAAATTTGTAATCCTTTTTGAAATGTTTCAGAAATTTTTAATAATATTTTATTAAAACTACTAAAAAATGACTATTAACATACTAACTAAAGAATTTCAGAAATGTGATTTAGTCTTAATATAATATGTAAAATTGTTGAAAAGTAAATAAAAAAAATAAGATAATATATTTTTGATATAAAAAATTAAAAAAATAAAGAAATATATAGTTATTATTACTATTATATAATCATATTTTTTTAATATTAATAAATAAATTATTTGGTTATATAAATAAAATTTATTATTATACATTTTATATTTTTTAAAAAAGTAATTAGTGAGTTATATGTATAGTCAACTCTTGTTATAACGAACTCTATGTCCTAGACCTCAACTTCGCTATAAGGCTATAGTGAAGATTTTAAGAGATTTGATTGGCCAATTCGCTATAACAAGAGTATTTTTATTATATTTGTTCAAAAAATTCGTTATATCAAGAGTTCGCTATAACAAGAGTTGACTGTATATTCTAATCTGCAAATTATCTATTATCTATTTTATTTAAAAATATGTAATTCTTTTGATCTGTTATTTATTAATCAAAATCTGAATCTAAATAGATCAATCTATTTTATCTATCAGATAAATTATTTAATAGTATATATTTATTAAGAATAGTTTTTTTTTGATTTAATGACTTTAATAATCTAAACTAAGTATTAAAAGATTTCTTTAACAGTATTAATCTTTAATTAAAATATTGTTTCTAATAATCTCTTTAATTTATCTATAATAAATTATATTATATCTCTCTCTCAAATACTACTTATTCTTTATTTAAGCATTTTGTATTTGAATCCATTTATAAATTTAGTTAGAATTAAAAAAAGCTACTAATATTAATTTAGAATTAATGAAAAAGAATTTCTATTATCTAGTTATAAATTCTCTCATAATTCTTCTTTTACCATTAATAAAATTAATTCTATTAATATCATAATACAGTTAGGATTTTATTAGTCAAATTTTTGATATAGTAGAGATCACCTTCTTCTTTTTATATATTATTTTTTAAAAGTAATATTTTTAACTTAAGTTTTAGAGAAATGCAAGATCAGTCTTTTTTAGATTAATTTTAAATTAATTTTAATAAGATATTATAATTTTTTTAATTTGTATTTTATTTTATATAGATTACTTTTATTATAATAGAGATTTTATGAAATTATCATATTTTTAAAATAAAAATTATATAAATTAGTTAATTATGAAATAGTGACTTTATAATTAATAAAGAAAAATTATACATAAATTTAATATTTAAAAAAAATAATAGGTTTGTCTTTATTTTTAGTATAATTATTAGTTTATAATAATTTATTTAATAAATATTTATTAGTTTAAAAAAAAATACCTAGATATTATAATTAATTTCTTGTTTAAATTCATTTGAATCTGACAAAATATTTAAACTTAATTTTTCTAATTTTTTATTAAAGTTTTGATATAATTTTGCATTTTTTAAGCTTTAATATAATTTTATTTTTTTTCAAATTTTGTAGATTTTTTAATAAAATTTTAGTATAATTTTATATACTTACCTTTTTTCATTTGGATGACTTGCAAAACCTTTAGATTTTATTAAGTAATCTTAATTATGATTAAATATAGATTATTTTATCACTAATATATTTTACTCAATAAATAAAAATATTAAAATTCTCTTGATATATTAAAGTTAATGACAAAATAATAAAAATCTCTTTGTTATATTAAATAACTTTTATAAAATTATGAATACCTATACTTCAAGATAAAATATTATAAATTAAACTAAGAAAAGAATAAATAAATTTTAAAAATAGTATAAATGTTAATATATTAATAAAACTAATAAAAAATCTATTACAATAAAAATTATAAATTATAAAAGAAAGCAATAATTTAAATAATAATTAAAAGATAAATAATTGAATAGAAAGTCTAAAATAAGTTAAAAGGATTATAAATTATAAGAAGAATTAATAAATAACAAAAATGAATAAAGAATTAAATAAAGAAAGTAAAATGAAAAGAAGAATTATAAATAAAAATGACAAAAATGATTATTGACATAGAACTGATAAAAAGAAATATAAAAAAATAATGCTAACAATAGAAGATTATAATAATAAAAATTAAATATTAAAAATAATACAAAGGAATTATAATTAAAAAAAATAATATTAAGACTGAACAAAGAAAAGTAATAATATAATATTGTAAATTTTTAAATAAATAAAATTAATTTGTAAAACAAATCCTCTTAATGATAAATAGCAGAAATGCATTAAGCAGAAATAACTCTTATCAAAGTTATCATCAATATTTATATGTTATATATTTTATAAAATTTAGATATTAATGATTATAAAGTTTATATTAAATAACTAAAAGATAAAGTTTAATTTTAAATTCAAAGTTATAAATCAATAATCTTTATTTTTGTCAGTGAAATTCAAATGCTTATTATTAGTTTAGAGTAATAAATAATAGAAGACAAAGAATAACTTAAAAGTTAGAAAAACATGAATTTTAAAGCAATTAGTCAAAAATATTCTGTTCAGTCTAAAAAATTTGCGTTCATCCTACTCTTCATACTCATTAAGCCACGAAGTATTTTTACCAAATAATCCTAATTAAGTCTTAAATATATTTTAACATTAATCTCTCATTATTGATATTATTAATACAAATTAGTATCATGTTATAGTATAGAATAAAATTAATAATTTGATTAAAAATTATTGCGCTAACGATTTTGATCATGAATTTAGAAATAATTTATGCATTAAATTTTAAAAGGTTGCTTAATGATAAAAAGGCAAATTGTTATATTTTATGTAGAAATATCAATATATATTAAGCATATAATAATAAAATTTATAATAAAATAATCAATAAAAATTTTAATAATACTAACGTAAAATATTTAAATATTAATTAGAATTGAATTCTAAAAAAAAAAATATTATTTCTTGAAGTAGATTTTATTAAATGGTATTATTTGCTTTTAGAAAATAATAAATAGTTTATTTATGTTGAAATTTTAGAATAGTGCTTAAAGTCATTAGTAGTTTTAACAATCTTAGTTATAGAAATTTTATTTTTTTTTTAATTAATTAATTTTTCTTTCTACTATGATAAAACTTATGTACAGTTAACTCTTCATAAATACACTGAATACAAGTATGTATTTATAGTATGCATTTATAAAAAATTTTTTAAAGATTTGATATTATAAAAAGAGCAATTTTAATGAATATTTTATTAAAAGATTATTGTATTAGGTAGCGAAATATGAGATCCAGTTGTATGAATACCCAGAAATATTTTTTTTTTTAGAAAATGTATGGTTAACTAAAATTTATTAAGATAAAAACACTGATAGTTTTGTAAATTTTAAATTAATTCTTACAAAAATACTAAAAATTATAATTTATTATATGGGAGCTTATCAGTAAAAGGAGAAAATCTAAAATTTTCATTAATTTTAGTTCTTATGCTAATTTTAAGTACATGATTATGATCAGTCAAGTAGACCAATAAAAAAAATTTAATCAAAATTTAGATTTTATCCTTTCTATTGATTATCTCTCATATGTAATTTGCTACATAATAAATATCTTTTTTTTTTAATATACTTTTCAATTTTATCACTAATATAATATATTCATCTGCAATTTCTTATTGAAGTAAAATATATTTACTATTTATAAGCTTTTTAATGCTACATTTATACTTACAATTTTAACTTTATCACTATTATCCATTTATCTAAATTATCAATATTTTATTAGACCTTTTAAAAATATCTATAAGCTCTTTAATGATTTGATTATCATCAAAATTTCATATATATTATCTTTCTTCTGATATATTAAGAAATTCATTTATTCACATTGCATTAAGAAAATTGAGAACTTAAATATTCTAAAAAGTTTAATGAGTAATTGATCATCTGTTTCATTATTATTATTCAGATGCTTATTATTAGAAAGGATTTTGATATAATTATAGTAATACAGATTGTTTCAACTGTAACTTCTTTAGCTTAAAATAATATACTAAATAATTTACAAAATATTCAACTTTAGATCTTATATGTTTTGTTCAAGTTCAACCTATTCTAATATTAGCTAAATAAAAAAATAAAAGAAAATTTAATTAATTAATAAAATAAAATATAAATTTATTTAAAATATAAAGTAATCTATCTATTAAATATAATAATAATAATATTTTTTAAAAGATATGATAATTCTAACATCTATTGACTAAATCTTGATGTTTTATTTAGAGATAAAAAATAAATTTAAACATATAAGAGGGATAGATTTTTATTTTATAACTACCAAACAATAGTAAAACATATTGATCTTCATATTTTTATATAATCTGATAATCAAAATTATAAAGCCTTTCTTAAAAAATTATTAAAAAATCTAAGTTTTAACATTATTTCAGTATATTATAAGTAAGTTATAAAAGTTAATAATTTAAAATATTTTAGATTTGCATATTTGTTGATTATTAAAAAAAATAATTTATATAAAATTTAAGTAACTGACTTTAGATCAATATCAATATCAATGGGTGAGTTCAGTTAGAACTTAAGTTTTGCTATAACCTTAAGGATAGCTTATAGGATTATTTTATATTTCTTATATGTTGTTAATCCTACGTTTAGCCTGTTGAACTTAGGGTAACTATAACTTAATAACAGAAAGTAACGTGCAAGAAACTACTAAGTTACTATAGAATAAGTCCTATTACAATTAACCTTAGGTTTATACTTTAGATGAATAAAGATAACTTTAACAATTTATAGATACAATAAACACAATTGATACGTTGAAGAATTTTTAATATATATAGTTTAGAAAGAGATTCCTTTATCATAGAGATTTGTACACTTAGCAATCCTTAACCTTAGATTTTAAGTTTTGAATTTCATCAGGAAAATTTTTCAGGTGATAAAAATTGATAAACTTCACTTTATCGTTATTTATCACCTAAAAAATTTTGATAATTAATAAGTTAAGATAATTATCGATAAATATCTGCGATAATTAACATTATATAACTGTACCGAAATTAGTCACAAAGTTAATTAACGAAATAGATTATTATCGTTAATTATCAACACTAATAATTATCAAAATTGATATTTATCACAGGTTATTTAAATGTTATTTATTATTTTATTATATATTTTAAAAAATATATTTATTTACAAATATTCATTGTCACAGTCATGTCTCAGTATTATATACACAGATATATCTACTGAGTCTAAATAAATACACATATAATGTTCACTTAGATACAATCTTAAACACTCGTACATTTCCTCTCCATCTATTACTTCTTCATACTATCGTAATAAAATAAGATTTGTTGGTTCTTTATTTTTTTTCAGAATAAACTCCAGTAATAAAAGAGCCTAAAAATATAAAATTAAATAATGTTATATGGTGAAAAAGAATTTAAAATAATTTATAAAGATTCAAAATACCTTTCTATACCATTCTGGATCTTCTGAAGAAATAGCAATGTTACTAAACCATTCTTTACCATGAAATTTTCCATCTGTTCGAATAATATCAGTCAATTCAACTGCTACACTTGAATATATATTAAAATATTCAGACTTGGTATCATAAGATATTTCATTTTCTGCTAAAAATTTTTTAAAACCTTCACATTGTTACGTTGGATTCGTAACTTCAAATAAAATCTCAAAAGAGTAAATAAAACTAAGACAATTACTCAAGGAATTACGGGTGAGGATTCATAATAACGTCAAAGAATTATTCTCAATAATGATCACATGAAATAAACACAAAATAAACACAAAGATATTTCAGAGATTACGCTTCAGAGACTTCAAGTCAATACAGCGAATCAATACAATATTATATAATAAGTTAACTAACAAAAGGGATTACATAAATGCAAAGGATCACAGATAATTTATAACAGTTTCAAAGGGTTTGCAAAGGATAAGTTTTATACTTGATTAATTATA